TCAGTCAGTCAGTCAGTCACTTACCTTGCCTAGGCACGATGCCTTTGGTCTGTACTACGGGCCTGACGGCGCGGCACTACGGCATTCAGTCGAGACACCTTGCGCAAAACACTTGCAGAAGCACCAGAATACCTCACCAAGTATCCGTAATGGCCTTGCAGATGCTGCTATTGCGCTGCACCACGCTGCCGCTGCCCCGGTCCCAATAACTTGCATGCCGTCCTCGGCGCTGCCTCTGTTCTTGTCTGCCTGTCTGTGACCGGGTCTGGGGTCTGTCACCTCGGTCGTCCTCGATTAAAGTAAGGAGAGGTACGCGAAGTAACGCTGTCGCTCGGCGCCTACCGTCCAATGCTCGTCCTTCCCCTCTGCCTCTCTCTCTTTCTCTCTCTCTCCTCTCTCTCTCGAACTGCACTCATCCATCCTCACCCCCGATCATGGATGTGGCCCATGCTGTTCCATGTAACACGCAAGTGCCTGCCTGCATGTAGCATAGAGGTGTCTGTTTGTGAGAGGCCCAGAAAGAAGTGTGTGTGGTCCCCGTCCCTGTCCCGCACGATCGGAGAGACATCCCGCGAGCCTCAGTCAAGACTCAGACCCTACCTTACCGATGCAGTCCACTCCAAACCAAACCACACCACGCCCTTTTTTCCCTTACCGTGCCATACCCTGCCTCCCCATGCCTTACCCTGCCTGACCCTCCTTCGTTCCTCTTACACTTCCTTCACCCCAATCTTTTTACCTTTTCCTCCTCATCCCGCCACTTTCGACCTACCTGCCCTTTTGATTCTTCTCACGATACCGCCGCTGGCGTCGACTTGCTCTATTCCACAGTTGCCCGGCCTGACCCGCTGGCTATTCCACTTCGCCCTCTGTATACTATCCACTTCTCATCATCGACGACAAAGTCTCGCCTTTTGAATGTACGCTTCTTGCTCATAACCTTCGGCCAGACAGCAACTCCGCCGACTCGTCTCCATCGGCTCGTGGCCGCGTTTTCTTCTCACCCAGGTTCCTCATGAGCTTTTACCGATCGACCTAGATGGCCGGCTAGGCTTCTGCTAGTTCTTGTCTTTTCATTGTTTCGTTCCCTCGCTGGGGGCTACTGTTCGATTCTCAACCCCACGGTTCTCTGCGACTGGAATCGCAACGCGCTACGACAATGTCGAGTCCAAACCGATCAAACCTCCCGGAGGGGGCCTTCATCACGACGTTCAATGGAAAGAGGTGTACGGCTGTGCCGAAAGGGGCGAAGACGAGATCGGGCAACCAGAATCGACAATCGACGAGTACGTCGCACTCGACATCGACAACTTCATCGACGACACGGTCGACCCCTCCACCGCCTCCGCCGCAAACAAGCGCACCCTCTGTGGCTCCTCCTCCTCCTCCTCCGCCGCCGCCACCGCCCGCGGTAACAACATCACCACCGCCGCCGCCGCTAGTATTGACTACCAGTTCAGCGAGTACGACGAGCTCCTCATTACCACCCCCTCCTGCACCACCCCCTCCACCGCCAGTGACGACTTCCTCTTCTCCACCACCACCACCAATACAGCAGACACAAGCGCCGCCTGCTCCCGTGGTCTCTAACCCTCCGTTGCCCATCATCATACCCTCCTCTTCTTCTACGCCGCCACTTGTTGATGCGGAACCACCGGCGACCATTCCTACATTCCAGCAGATTCCTAGCATACCCCCCCAAAGTGTGCCTCTCCCTGCTCAACTGCCTCCTGTTTCCTCATCCTCCTCCGTTCCTGCCATCATACCTCCAATCGCTCCAGGAACCAGCCAGACTGATGCCAACGCAGTCCCCACGCAACCAGCTCAGACGCCGCCAGCGCTGAGCGACGTCAGCCCTCCACCCGCAAGCTCAAGCACCCCTGCGCCGGCTGCCCCTACGGTTCTCAACCCTGGCACTGCCGCGGGCGAGGCTGGGGCCGGGGCCGGGAACGGCAACAACGCTCCCGCGAGTAGTCAGCCTTCTTCGCAGGGCAGCAACAGATCCGGTGGCGTGGCTACACCTGTGGTGATTGCTTCGAGCGTAGTGGGTGCTGCGGCTGTCATAGGCCTGCTTGGCTTCCTTCTATGGTTCTGGAGGAAACGATGGCTCAGGAAGCGTCGGAGCACGCTGCTCACGCCTTTGTCGACGGATCCCAGCTTCAGGACTGGCGAAAAGTTTGTTATTGACCGTGGATCCCTTGGACCGACGCCGCGTACAGCCAAACTAAAAGCTGCCCTTGGCTACAATTTCAATCGGTTCCGTGGTCAAGTGGGAGGCCTGGTGTCACGCAATCGTGACAGTAGCTCTACCGGCGGCCGCTCACAGTTCATGAACATCTCTCAACACAGCCGGAACAGCTCGTCCATGTCGAATCATGGAGGTCCCCGCGACGTTGTCACAACCAAGGACCGGATGAAGGACTGGTGGGAACGATTAAGAGCGGACATGAAATTCAACTGGCGCCTTCGGGGCGACAAGAATGCTGAGAAGGATCCGTTCGCCGCGTCCTGCGACATCAAGGAGCGTAAGGCTGCCACGGGCGGACAGCCTGACTTCTTAACATTATTGGGGATGGATGAGAGAGAAGTCGAACGAGAGGCCCAGCGCAGGCGGCTCAGCCGAGGCAAGGGTAGCGCTGGGTCGGGCGATCACTTCCTAGGTGGTTTGGGGCTTAACTTCGACAATGCCTCGGCCAACCCCTTTTCCGATATCAACGCGCTACCACACGACTCTGCGAAGCCCGCGCCTCTAGCCGTGGCGAATCCGTCTTCGAATAACCCCTTTTCGGATTCCAATGCCATCTCGGCACCAGCGGCGGCTGTCAAGCCACCAACGACTTATGTCGCAGATGTCCGACGATCCAGGGGTACGTCGGTTGGCGGCAACACGACGCGACCACCGAGTGGTTCCACGTTCTCTCCCCGGCTGGACTCAATGTACCGAGATTCAATGCAGAGCGTCGAGAGCTTTTCAACAAGACGCAACAAGTTCCGTTCTGACCCTTTCGATTTGGAGCGGCCTGAGTTGCTTGGCAACCGCTCAACGCCAGCTAGCAGTAACTACAGCCAGGCTGGCGGTGGGCCGCCGCGTGTACCTGGGTCAGCGCACACTCGGTCCGACAGCTTCAGTTCCAAGTACAGCAGCGGGGTGAGCATGGACGGGTGGAGCGATCCGGGTCCAGACGTCGGACCTTCGGGCGGGCCCGCGGCATATCGGTACGAAGCCGAGAGCCCCGTGGCCGGTTACCGGCCGGGAGAGCAGCGCAAACCGGGACGCAGGCCGAGCCAGACCAGCCAAGGAAGTCAACAAAGCGTGGGCAAGGCTCTGTAGAAGCTTCCACAAAACATTTCACTGAGATATATGTCATATACCATCATGAAACACAATTCATGTACAAAGAATGAAGGAGCTGGTTCAAGGGAGAAAACGGTTTTCGTTATGCGATACGCAATGGTGGAACGGGGCGACGACTCAGGTGCAATGAGGTCATCTTGGTCGTTCGCTGCGTTCCTGATGAAAGGATGGATGTGAAGATACCGAAAAAGGATGGATCCAGGTTCGGGTCCGGCATGGTGTTTTGGTGTTACGATGAGGCGGACACATACGTTCAGTTATGCTGTGCCTGTTGCTCTCTTTTCCTTGTTACGATCATTCAGTCTTCATGAGAGAAGCTGCCTCTCGCCTGCCCTTGGAAACCCCTCATAGGCGGCGCAGATTGATGCAGCGAACCTGTTAAAGGTAATAGTTATGTCAGAGCAATTTCACAAAGGGTGAAACCAAGTCGACACTAATTGGTTCCTATTTGTTCTTGATGCGCTGTGGTATGCGTTGTGCGTGAACGAGCCGGGTTACAACATGATGGGCCGCTGCAAAGGCTGTGACTTGTACGTAACCGGAGACGAGACCGGGCTCCCGGACGCCCGGCCGGGGGTGGCCGGGGACATTTGGAACGAGGATGGAGTTGAATTGATAATAGATAAGCAATTATGGTCTTATGATTGACAGCTGGCGGCGAGTGCTGGGTTGACCGAGCTCTGGCATACGCTTATCCCAAGCAGGCAAGTCTCTAGGTATCAAGTAGGCGATAGGTCACCGGGCAAGATACCTGAACGAAGTACCCCTGAGGCGCTTGGCTGGCACGTTGGTTACCCCTCATAGCTGTACGGATAGGTCGTCGTAGTAGGTAGGTAACCAGGATGCAGGAGCCACCAACGACGTCAGGCCTCCCCCGCCCCCTACTGGCCACTGGTCCCGCATCATCCCACTGCGCACGCTCCAATCCAACCCAGACGAGAGCAGTCATACAGCTGCCATGGTTGAGACATCAAAAGGAACGATACCATCTACAACGACGGCACTACGATAGTAGCTATCCCTTGCCGTATCCCAAACGAGCAAGGCGATCGCGGGCCAAGGCATAGAGGCCCTTCGAACCCACGTCCCCCGCTGGCGCGTCTACGTCCTCGTTGAAGGACCACCCGACTGCTACAGAGCAACTCGCAACAAGACGGCGAGCGGGACCCGATCCGAACTCACCGCCGTTGGCCAAAAAGCCATAGTCGCGCCGCCGACAAACCCGTTTACCTTAATCTTCTCTGGCCTGGCCTGGCCTGGCTTTTTATCATACATGTCGTTAGGCAGCCTGCCAGCCAACCCTTCTTGCTTTCTTGTCTTGCTTACCCCATTCTACTAACTACTGTCGTTTTCGTCTGGTCGTTGGACCTACCACCAAGTTACCCAACGTAGGCAGCTTTTCCGTACATGTCGCGCGTCCGTCAATGAATGTCCTCCACCAAATCTCCGCTACCGACGCCATCTCAATCAAACCGAACCTTCTCCATCTCTCCCGCCCATAAACCTGCACCTCCCACACCCTCGCCAACGCTCGACGCACACGATGGCTTACCAAAGCCCCCCGGAAACACCCTCCTCATCCGGAGCACACACACCTACACACTCGTCCGCCAACCCCTCCTTGTCCAATTCCATGATATCGACAATGTGGTCCGGTCTCGTTCGTCGGTTTTCCTCTGATATCCCCGAATCGTACGGTCCCCACAGCCATCACCATGAGTCCTCCCACCTAGCTCACGCGTACACCGAGCCCACGGCCCACGGCGCCTTCAAGGACGGCATCAACGGGGTGTTTGTGCCCGCCAACATCAAACGTACCGCGAGCCCCTTCCGCCCTCCACCGCTGGATCCCATCGTCCTTTACGGCTTCAAGGAAAGCACGCCACTCAGCGCGCGATTGCTTAGTACTGGCGTCGCCGAGGAAATCCGCATAATGCTGCCAGAACGACTGCGAATCATGGAGGACTGGAAGCTGGTATACAGCCTGGAGCAAGACGGGGCTAGTCTGACAACCTTGTACCAAAAGGCAGCTTTGTATCAAGGGCTGCGTGTTGGCTTCGTCTTGGTTGTTAGAGACGATGCTGGTGGCGTGAGTCGATTGCTCCAACGCGGGCTGTGAAGCTGCAAACGATTTCACCTGCTAACAGCTTACCAGACCTTCGGCGCCTACCTCTCCGAATACCCTCACCCCGCACCCAAATACTTTGGAAATGGGGAATGTTTCCTGTGGCGCGCCTCCACCCTCACACCCTTGCCACCACCGCCCTCTGCCGACACAACCAACCTCACGCGTTCAACAACTGTGGCTAGCCCAACCCGCTCAGCCTTCAACGATGACGACCGCGCCCAACCGTCCCCGGCACCCAGCGAGTCGATTCGCTTCAAAGCCTTCCCCTACTCGGGCGTGAACGACTACTACATCAACTGTGAGATAGGATTCCTGAGTGTTGGCGCTGGCGACGGGCACTACGGCCTGTGGCTTGATGACAGCCTTGACCGCGGCCACAGCGGCCGTAGCCACACATTTGGTAACGAGCCGCTCAGCGACGAGGGCGAGAAGTTTGGTGTCTTGGGTGTCGAGCTCTGGGTGTTGGGGGCTTGAGGGGGTTCGACAAAACAACAACAGGGGAAATAAAGGAAAGGGGGGAGGAGAAAGAAAGAAAGAAACAACAAGGGTGGGGGACCTCGTCCATCCACGAGAATGAGAGAAACGACCAGGGGCGGCGGAAACAGCACGCCGAGTAAAGAGAACCCACGAAAGACTGATTACGGAGCATCTTGCGGCTTTAGGTAGACACGGCGAAACGGAGCGTATGGTGTTGTTCTTATGCGTAGTAGCTGGAGAGCAAGGTCCTACTGAGGCAAAGCAGAGCGCCGCAAGCATGACACGTCTGCTGCGAACATCCCTCAGTTGGATACTGGCCTGAAGGTAGGAAGGGGGTGCGAGTTGAAGAGTGTAAAGTGGGAGGCGCGAACAGGCTGTGCTTTTTGCCCGCGCATGGGGAAGCAGACGATACCTCGGCCCTCAAGAGATTGGGGTACCTAGAAGGAACATACAAAGAACGTGGGCAATGGGTGCCGCCGGTGGACAGATATTCCTAGCCTTATCGGTCACTACGAAGTTTATATATATAAACAATGATACCCTCGAATTACATCAACTGCATGCATTGGTGTGCCGTTCTTTGCGAAACGCCTTATACAAGTACCCGCCATCTTGAGCAAAGCAATCCTTTTCCAACTGCCTGCAGGCATCAGGTAGTGCCAGTGCCATTGGTAGTTCCACTAGCCTGCGGATATCGAATGTACACGACGTCGCCGTTGTTCTTCGCACAGGAGAAGTGGAGGTGGACCCTGAAGTGGCGAAAAAGAAAAAAAGGGAAAGAATTAGACGAGAGATATTTGCTTATCCATCAATGAACGATCTAGCTTGCTCCAGCCGGATCTGCCTCGCCTCGCATATGTCCCTCTGTATTTCCTAACCTTGAAGACCCTTGCGGCCTAATTGTCCACGTCTCACTTTGCCTGTCTATAAAGTCATCTGTGCCCTTTTCGTTCGTCTTCTCGTGCCTTGCTCTGTATCCATCTCTCACAGCGCCCTGGCAACGCCACCAACAAGCCCCGACGATAGCCCTTTCGTCCATCTTATGCTCTTGTTCACCGCATAATCTCCTGGTAAATCAACTGCTTGAGCTGCTCCTTGCTTAGGTTGTCCTTGTGCTTGTCAAAATCAAAGAACTCCTCCGGAATGGGAGGCGCGGTAGGCTCATCGTCGGGATCATGGTACGGCTCAAGGTAGGGGTGCTTCAGAGCGTCCTCGACCGTGATGCGCTTAACAGGGTTGAATGCGAGGAGCTTTTCGAGAAGATCGAGAGCCAGGTCGGACGTCTTGGGGAACAAAGTCCGGAAGGGAACCTTTTTCTTGAAGGGAAGAGAGCGAATGTACTCTCTGGCGCGGCGGGACTTGATTCCGTAGTAATCCTCCATGGTTGGAGTTCCCAGTACATCCAGTATGAGTGTCAATTGGTGGTGGTCTGGTTTCCATTAGTATCGTTAGCATGCGATCCTTAACAATTCGCAGATGGGGAAAGGAGGCTTACAGTCCTTGCCGGGGAACAGGGGCTTTCCGCTAAGCATTTCCGCCAAGATGCAGCCGACCGACCACACATCAATAGCTTTCGTGTACTCTTTGAACGTCAGCATAATCTCTGGCGCGCGGTACCATCGCGTCGCCACGTATTCCGTCATGAAGCCTGAGTTATCCTCCTGCGACGCCGCGGAACGTGCCAGACCAAAGTCACAGACTTTCAGGTCGCAGTTGGCGTTGAGGAGCAGGTTGGAGGGCTTCAAATCACGGTGCAAAACGTTGGCCGAGTGCATGGCCTTCAGGGCACGCAGAGTCTGGTAGATAAAGTATTGGCAATGGTCGTCGGATAGGTCCTGAGTGCGGATTACGCGGTGCATGTCCGTCTCCATGAGTTCCTGCATTGCGATGGTGTGTCAGTAATTTCACAATGAAGCTTTTCAATTGCCTCGAAGTATCTTACTTGGATTAGATAGACCTCGTTGAAGGTCTCGTAGCTTCGGGGTTTCTGAATGTCGAGAATGGAGATGATGTTTTCATGGTTGAAGTATCTCAAGAGTTTCATCTCACGCAGGGTACGGAGACAGAACATGGAGTGGTCGAATGGCGTGATCTTCTTAATGGCCACCTTTTGGCCGGATGGTTTGTGTATCGCGGAGCTAAGGCAATCATGGTCAGTTCAGCAACTCTCCCGAGGATTTGGGTAGGGCCTTTGACGTACCAGACGACTCCGTAGGCACCCTCGCCAACGACATCCTGGATGTCATACTGCTCGCTCACGTTGAACGAGATCTTTCGGGATCCCGAAGCGTTGGGGGGATTCGCGCGCGACATGGTCGCTGGTATAGGACGATGTTATCGAGCTGAAAGGTGTTGTCGAGCAGGTAGTTATCGACGGAGTGGTAGCACGAAGGCGGGTCCTGGCGAAGGAGATACTACTTCGGGCGGAGCACGAGGGAAAAAAGGGGGAAAGGGCAGGATGAGAATTAAGCCGTCCTAATAAGGTGTGCGCGAAGAACCACAATTGCCTTCCTTGGTCGGTGGTTCGGTAACGAGCCAGGAGCTATTTGGTATCGTCGTCTGCGGGGGTATAATTATTGGCGGGAACGCTGTTTGTGACTTGTCGGAAGAACGGGTGGGATCGACGGGTGTCAAAAACGATGGCGTCGGAGACACAAAGTTTCGCAAGCCGGGCGACTTTGGTTTCTTGGTGGAGGAAAGAAAACCCAGGTCGGTTCAGTCAATGAACAGACGCGGGCAAGTCGGCTTGGATATTTTTCGAGAGAGGGGGAAGGTGACAAAGGGAGACGCAGCGCAGCGGACGGGAGGGTGGAAGGAGACGAATGTCGTCGGAGGTTCGAAAGTGGGCGAGGGCCGTGTTTCTTGGGTCCGCTCGGGCCTTGGGGTGCTGGTCCACAGGCCGGGTAGGCAACGTCTCGGGTTTTGGTTGTCAAGCACGCAGCGGAAGAAGTTTTCTGCCCTGGTCGGTGCGGCTTGCTGAGTAGACGGCAAGCGAGACGAAGAGAAAAGAGGAACAATTATCGATGGCTCGATAAAGGGGATTGAGGGTGGTGATTATTCAGTTTCCGGTGTCAAAGAGGAGAATATCCCGCGGCAGTGGACTGTGTGCGAAGATATGGTGTTAGCTGGAAGGAGCTCCGACGGGTTAAGCGACAGAAGGGGCAGGTATCCCGGTATGCGCAAGGTTGAGTGAGAAGTGAGGGCCCAAAGCAGCTGGGTAGGACGGGATAGGGTCAGGTTAGGCAAGGTAAGGTACGGTTTGGCAAGCAAGCCACAGCCAGGCTAGGCGCTCCGTCGCTGTCCCCCAAGCCAAAACTGAGTTGCGGAGCCAAAAAGCACACACTAGGCGATGGCATCCGTTTTCTTCGCTTCTTCTCGAAAACTGTCGCACCAAGAAGGTTTGTAGTGGCAGACAGGACGCAGGAGGGACAGGCTTCCAGAAGATGGCAGGAGCAAAGCGCAAGCCAAACAGCGAAGACAAGGAGAAGGACACCTTACTGAGTGGTGACTGTGGCCGTGAACGGTGCAGCAGTAACACGAGCACGAGCGACAGCGACGGCAACAGCAGGTGAGGGGAGCGAAAGCGGGTCGTGGGACAACGAAACGACGAGGCCAGGTAAGGGGAACGGGAACGGGCGATGAACCGAGCACCCCCTGCGACAGGACTTCAGACGAGGGATGTAAGGTGCGCAAAAGGACGAGAAGCACGCGGGGCCAAGAGACTGGCTACTGAGCACGAGGGCGGACGACTCCAGGACCAGGGCGCAAGGACGAAGGAGGTCTGGTCCAACAGGCAACCGCTTGGATGCGTCTTTGAAAAGCTCTCCAGGCCGACCTGGGACGGCGACGTGCCTGTGTGGTCGTCACGGCGCCACGAGGGGTTTATAAAGCGAAGGCGAAGCGGCGTAAGGCAGAGGAGAGGCGCCGTGAGAATGGAGAAGCGGGATGAAGAAAAGGAAGGAGTTTGATGGACGGAAAGTTGTGGATGCAGTTGGGGTTGAGGCTTCGGGATGGGAACGCAAACACCTCAGGAAATGAGAGAGAGAAGAAGAGCTCAAGTACGTACCGAAAGCCTTTTGACACGGGGAATAAGGTAGGGTGATCAAGTAGGTTCGGTAGGCAGCTCAAGGCCAGCAAGTCTGAAGTTGAGGTGGCTGAAGTCTTTGGGTGAACATTTCAGTCAGTCTAGGTATAAGGTAAGGTATGTAATGAAGTGCGTCCAGGTCGACAATTTCGGGAGGAAACAGGTGAATTGAAAGCAGATGCATGTGCAGGTGCAGGAGCAGAGACGGGCCCAGACGCAGACCCGGGCCCAGCAGGTAGACAGAGAGACAGACAGTCTCATCAGTCAACGGCTGAGGCTGGTAACAAGGAGAATCGTCACGCCAAGCGCAAGTCCACGATGAGTAACTTACCCCGCCAAACGCTGAGATTGCTTGTTCTCTAATGTATCTCTCCTCTCTCTTTCTTTCTCTCTCTCTCTCTCTCTCTCTCTCTCTCTCTCTCTCTCTCTCTCTCTCTCTCTCTCTCTCTCTCTCTCTCTCTCTCTCTCTCTCTCTCTCGCTCTCACTCGCTCTCTACTTATGCCGTAGACAACAAATGTGTTGGAAGAACAGCTTACTTGCTGGCAGGTGGGCAGTGTGTAGTTTTGCTCGGCCTGATGTTGCTCGTCTGGTCTTCTGCTGGTGTGTTGCAGCAGGTGCAGAGGTGAGGTAATAAGTGGAAGAGGAGAGGGAGGAGAAGAGGACGGGCTGATGTCGTAGACAGGAATCTGGCGAGACCTAGGACTAGGTCTGGGTCTGGGATTGGGACTGGACTGGGACTGGACTGGGACTGAGAAGACGTGAGCGGAGGAGGGCAAGAGGGGGTGAGGTGAGGGAGGGAGGGGGAGGAAAGGTGGAGGGGCCAGATACTTTGACCACATGTACACGTGGTTGCGGGTGCTGTGCCATCCGAACCGAGCATCGCTACTTACGAGTCGTGTACCTTAGCGGTAA